AATGCCAGAAATGTAATGCAAAGCCTACAAAACAAAATATTTATGGTCAATGAAAAAAAAAAAAAAAAAAGATTGACACTGAAGCAGAATTAGAGGGGATATATTTGGAAAACCAGTAAAGTTGAGGTGAATCATGAGTCAAACTTTGGCCACCAGCAGATACCCAATAGAACCCAATTAACCACCAAATGAATGAGAACATTGTATTTGCTGACTCCAGCTGTTTAACGACACTGCAAAAATTAAACAGCATGAGATTGTTATACATATCAATTTTTCTCATCTCAAAATCACAAAATTCCTGAATACTTTGAAGGCAATCTGAGGTCCTATTGTTGATACAAATATAATCATCTGGGGATCACTCATTCACTCTAGTGGGTGGAAAACAACAGGCTACAGAATTATGTTTTTTAACAAGTATGACTGAATATAATCTTTCAGTCACCGGCACATTGTGAAAGGAAATTATGAGTAAAATTTTATTTCCAAAATGGTTTTCTTGAGACAAACCTACAAGATGAAAGTCATTACATTAAATGCAATTAACTAGCATTGTAGAAGCATTGTTTCTTAAATTTATTAAGTTCTTGATATGTCATAGCCCAGACTTTCATGCCTCCAACACACTTCAAACATTTCTTACAGTAAATTGCAGTCTAATCATGCAACAAGAACAATCACTCAATCTCGATACTGAATTTGCAACTGTAGTCTGTAACTGTTATACAAGAGATCATGACTTTTAGTTGTATAGCTTACCTTTTACAGCACCAATTTCAGTGTGATATGTCCACAGCGCAATTCAAAGAGTCTGTGTACGTATGTATGTATGTGGCGTGGGTCAGTGCACTAGAAGTCACTTCACGCATATACTCCCATTTCCGATCCACAAGTGTAGACATTATATGAATTACTAAAGTAACTCTACCAAAACTACCAGTTTAAAATATAAAGTAACTCTACCAAAACTACCAGCTTAAAATATAAAGTAATCCTATAACCTACAAATTTCTAAACATTTCGACTCCAAATAACATTCAATATGCGGATGAGTGAAAAGTATCGAATGGAAAATTTTAAGGTATACAAATATGCAGACTTCTCACCTAGTTTCCTCGTTATCCTGCCGCTGCTCGGAATCATATTCCTCATCGTCTCCATCATCACTTCCGGAACTAGAATTAGAGTAATTCCGACTGTACCTAATCCCATCCCTCGAGCTTCCTTCGAGATTCCGCTGCACATACCTCTTCTTATACTCCACACACACACACACCATGTGTAGCACGCACTGAAGAGCATAGCCAACAATCCATAGCCTTATAGGCATAGACGGAGACTCTTTCCTGCTCATGATCAACACAGAAATCGAAACAATCACAAACGCTAGGTTCCATATTAGGTCCAGTAGTACTATAGGCTTAGAGTACGCCCAGTCGCTTTGACGCTCCTCGAGTTGATCGGCAGCAGCCTCGCGAACGCGGACAGACGTCTCGCGCATCGTGCGGGTGCGGCTGCTGGCGCGCCGGATGAAGCGAGCCGCACTGCGGAGGCTCGGCGGACTGCGCAGAAAGCGGTGGCGCGTGCGAAACACCTGCTCCCCCATTAACGGGTTTATATCGATGGTGGAATTGGGGCTAGATGAGGAATTGTTTGAAAACATCGTTTCAGCTGGAGAATTTCTTCGACTGGGGCATTGACTGGTAGCAATTTGCAGGGAACAGATCTGTTTGGATTAATATACACGTAGTCGTGGGTGTTAGATGGTAGTTTGGAACTGGATTAAAATGATGTTA